TCCTACCACGGCCAAAGAACCTAGGTCTCACCATGATAGAAAAAAAGCCCACTTTTTACACAAAGGACATTTGTATACTTATAGACACTCTATTATATCTATCGTTTACAGTAGGTTTTAAGGACATAAAAAAACTCAGTAGTATTGTTGGAATTAAGCTTTATTGCCATGGCTTTAATGGATAATTCCTGGCCGAGACGGTCAGTGGGAAGCTGTGCATCAAAGACACTCGGTGGTAAGTAAGGAGCATAGATTAAGAGAAACACTGAGTTCCTAGGTTACCGTTTGCATGCCAAAATATCACACATGATAATCTGTGGCAGGTGGACATGAGGGTTAAGGAAGAGTGAGTTCTTAATACTTGTTATGAAAACCTTGAGTCCCACTCTGTGTCCTGCTGATGATACACCTGCTACCAGGTAAGAACCACTGCTGTAACAGAACCATGCACTGGAGAGGAGGGTCTTTGGTCTTTTGGAGAACCAGCCCTGAGACTCAAATATGAGGCAGTGAGATGCACAGCAGACCAGATTGGTTTCTCCCCTCATGTATCAAAACCGATCACTCTCCTCACAGCACTAACCAGGCTTCCCAAATAAATAGCTACTGCTCATGCAAGGAGAATGGGAACGTTAATGGACAATACATTTTTAAGTATTCAGGAACTGCAGGGGCTCATCTGAAAAGCACAGTTGCACCCTCCTATCCAAGTATCTCGAGACACTACTGATCGCAGTGGTTGTTATGCATTTTTAAACGCTGGTTTGGAAATATTCTGTAAGGGAGCATATTTAGATGACTCCATCTCCCTTTGCTCCTTGAGAAACAATGGTGCCATTTCTAAGCCTGGGAAGAAACTGCCTCAGGCAGCTGATGTGGAGTAGCAGCTAAGAGACCAAGCAGCCGTCCACAAAGACCTTGGTTCAAAGCTTGTCTCTGCCTTAAACTCCCTTGGATGCTTTAAGCAAGCCTGTCCCCCACAGCCTCATCCCCTCCTGTGCACAGTGGAGAGAACTCATGTCTAGATTATAGGGTGGTTCTAAGGACAGTGTTCATGAAGTACTTTGAATGCTGAAAGCACTACGTAAAAGCAAAGTATTAATGACCAATAGCCACCCCAAGATGTAGGGTCACTTCGTCATTGTGCTACAGGTACCATCAATAGCTGGGAAGGGGCAGAGGAAAAAAGGGCACGCCTAACTTCATGGAAGCCCTTGGAATAATTTCTTTCAGAGAGGTTGTGAAGGGAATTTTTGTGCTGCTCCAGAACTCACAGCATTCTGCCAACCAAACACAAAGCCATGCGCTGATGGTACCAACCTCTTTCCACGCCAATCTCTGCTACTCCCCTTCCTCCTTGCGCCAAGCTTGAGCATATGTAACCTGGGACAGAGGAGCACACAAATCTCCCACCCCTCCTGCGCCATGCACCAACCGAAGGGGGAAAAGAAAAAGAGTCCCATCAGCCCACAGTAAAACTCTGTCTTCATGTTCCAGCTGGTTCACGCACCTCAGCACAACAGGAGCTGACAAGAGGGTTTAGCAAGATGACACGGAATCTCAGAGGAGACAAGCTGCAGCCACATACAGAAAAATCAACCCATGTCAGTCCTGACTTGCGCAACAGAGAGCTGCTTTTTAGGAAGTCTGCTGATGAGGAAAACCAGGCTGCTTTCCACATGATATCCCTCAACTGACTTCCTTACAAAGGCTTGCAGGCACGGCTGCTGGGAAATACAGGACGTTGTGCCTCTTTGTAAAAGTCAAGTGGTACAATGCTGAGACCCAACCCCCAGTTGCTCCCTTCCATGCAGTGCAGCTCACAGCCAGTTCTTAAGCCAATTCTTAAGTAAGATGGAGTCCCTTTAAAAGTTCTTTGACCAGATCCCCATGCAGTGAGCTGTGGATATGGAACAGCTCTCTTGGGAATCACCTTCAGGGGCAAGAGACAGGCCTGTATTGTGGGGCCAACCCATGAGGTTAGCCAGGACACAGGGAGTAACTACCATGCAGAGGCAGTTCAAATCAGAAGACCCCAAGCACCTTGGGGGAAGGGTGGGGGTTAAGAGATCTCCTTCAAGGGATATTTTTCATGCCCTCAGTTTAATTTGCCATAGGCGATGCTGTCCCAGGAGTGGGGACAGCATTTGGGCAAACCTATTAGGTAGTCCCCCTAGCTACTGAAGGGTCATTTCAACCAGAGCTGCAGAAAATAAGCTGTCTTCTCTGCCAGGAACTATTTGACTTTGCTGCCTCCCCCCCCTCCCCCTTCCAGTGAGTGTTGTACTGCAGGCATCACGGGAAATTGTGTTTTTGTATTTGACTTGCTCTGAGTTGTAATGTTTTGTGCCTGCAATTCTAACATACATAAAGATTGTGGTATGAAATTATTCTTTTTCTAAAATTACCCACATTTTTTAATTGTTGTCCAGACCTTTAAAAATCTTTCTGGCGTTTAGAGAGACATAAGAAAGACTCTACTTTTTCTCCCCTTTTCTGATATGTAAATGCTGTATTTTTTTTCTCGGGGGATATATTATTAAAAATTAATAACAACAACAACAACAACAATAATCATAATAATCATAATCATAAGTAGTAGTAGTGGTAGTGGTGGTAGTAGTGGTGGTGGTGGTAGTAGGAGTATTGGTATTATAAGTAGTTGTAGTATTATTAAAAAAGAAGACTCCAAGCACAGAAAGCTACCATCACTGAGGGTGATTCTGCATCTGCCATTCGCTCCACATTTTCTCAACACTGAGGAAAAGGTGCAGCTCAAAACCACATCCAAATACTCCAGGGCAACTCCATACTGACTGCGAAGTCACCCCTGAACGGGCATAAATCTATGCAGAAGGTACCATAAAACCCGATAATCAGAGAAAGTGAAAGCGGCATGCAATGCAGAGGGGGATTTCTGTTCCAAGGTGGGTTTGGTAAAACAATGGAGGAAAAAGCCAATACGAATCTCCCTAAAATCAGAGTGAGCATTACCACGCATACTGTTTTACTTCCTTTAGTGGAGAGGCAGCAAAGGTTCTCTCTCAGCAGTCAGAGTAGTCAGATAACACAGAGCGCCCAACCCTAGTGAGCCATGTTGCATTATTTCAGGGGTGGGGGTAATTACTGCCAAATTCTGCCTGCACAGTGACCCCACAACCGCAAAGGGACAAAAGCCCTTCTGTCACGTAAGCTCACAGCACTGCAGCTGCAGCCAGCTACCCAGTGATATTTTCCTACCCAGGGCTAACTACTACAATGAAAATTAGCAGAGGGTAGTTCTCTCAATGCCTATTAGATGTGACAACTAAATGGGAATGCTACGTTTCAGGACAGCACCTCTCTCTCATTAAGCCAACTTTTACTGCCTGCTGATGAGTTTTAAGGAAGTGGGCTTCCCACTACAAGAACGTTCCTTTACTGAGCCTATGGGAAGTATAAAAGGGTTCAGAATCCCACGTTACAATTCATTACTTGGTGATTGCCTGGATACAACACAGACTCTAGCACAGGTGTGGCCAAACTTGCTTAACATCAGAGCCACATAGAATAAATGTCAGATATTTGAGAGCCACAAGACATGAACAAATATAACCCACATGTTTTTATTGAAAAATATGCAAATTTACTTTTTAAATTAACATTAAATAAGACTGCTAAAAATAAAAACAAAAGGGGCAAAAACAGATATTGATAACTAGGAAAAAGGGCCATTGTGGAAATAAATACAACAATCTCTAGAAAGAGGCTCGGGGCAGGTGCCCCGGCCTTGGACACTCAGTGTCAATTTGCTGTGGCGACTTCAGCAGGGTATAATGACACTGAGTCCACCATTTTCTCCAGAGGAATTGATCTCTGCTACCTAAAGAACAGTTGTAATTTTGAGTGATCTCCAGGCCCCACCTGGAGATTGGCAACGATGGTTCCCCAGAAGGGAATGGTTGGTTTGGAGGGTGGAGTCTATGGCTTTGTACCTGTCCGAGGTCCCACGCCTCCTGAAACCTCACCCTTTCCAGGCTCCATCCCTCACATCTCCAGGAATTTCCCACCTGGAGTTCCCCACCCTATCTCCTTCCCAGCCAATCATCAACCTACCTTTATTTCCCCCTCACTTTTCAACTTTCCACCCCCCACAAACCTGCAGCCTCTCCCGTGCTCTGAAGCCCTGACTGCTGCGTCACATTGGCTGTCATATGGGGGCCACCTCAGCAGCATATAAGGATACGGAGCTCATCATTTTCTCCAGGGGAACTGATCTCTGCCATCTGGAAAGCAGTTGTAATTCTGAGTGATCTCCAGCCCTCACCTGGAGATTGGACACATTTTATCTCAGAACAGCAAACTGTTTAGAATGTTAGAGGCAAAAGCCAATCAAGTCGCATATGCAAACGACCTCTGTGTTCCATGGCAAAGGCCAATGAGGCTGCATATGCAAATAACCTCTGTGTTCTGACTGGCTATGG